CGACCCTTCAGTAAGGGGGTGTCCAGTTGCCTACAGATGGGTTTTGGATCTCCAATCTGCACTAACCCTCATTTACAATGATATGAATTTTTTTTCTTTGATGCCTGATACCTGATCCCTTCGACACCTCGTGGTCATACAGGCTGGTGTGCTTTTTTGGTAAGTTCATTTTTATAATTTATTCACTTTGTAAAATGTGATGTAAGAGAAAAATATTTTCAAAATACACCTTTACCCCTCATTTTGTGCTTAAATATGACATTGAAATGGCAAAAAAGACAAAATAGATAAGTGGGATCTTATTACAATGAAAAATTACTATCTATTGAAAGACTATCAACAAAGTAATACAGATTGGGAGAAATTTTTGAAGACATATATTAGATAAAAGTTGATACTTAAAGTTTATAAAGAACTCCTATAATTTAGTAACAAATAATCCAATAAAAAGTAGACAAAAACCTGAACACACATCCACTGTGAATATAGGAGGGTCAATGGTCACATAAAAAACACGCTCATTGTCAGCCAAAAGCTGCATTGGTGCGAGTGCTGTCGGGCCAGTTCTGGCTCACAGCCATCTCAGGAACAACAGAACGAAACCCTGCCAGATCCTAAGGGGATAGAGCCAAAACCACAGCGAGATGCCACTTCTTCCATACTAAGGTGGCCACGAGGAATGAAACACAGCAATAGAAAATATGAATGTTGCCAAGGAGGTGGCGAAATTGCACATCTTATCTGATGCTGATGAGAAAGAAAAATGATACAGCCACTGAAGAAACTAGTTTGACACTACCAAAAAAAGTTACACATGCAGCCACAATATCCCCAGGAGATGGGAGAGCAGTGGCGCAGGCAGACACACATGCACACTGTTCCTTTGGGCATTAGTCAATAGCCAATGGTGAATACATCCCAACACCCATCAATGGATGAGTGGCTAAACAATAGACGGTGTAGACAGACAACAGATTATTCTTTCATAGAGAAACAAGTTGTCCCCACACATATCTCCATGGGGATAAACCTTGAAAACATTACGCTGCAAGAAATAAGTGAATCAATCATGAATGCACAAATATTATGTGATCTTACTTATATGACATGTTGGAGCAGAAGATGGAAAATACCATGGACTGCTAAAAGGATAAACAGATCTGTCTTGGGAGACATGCAGCCAGAGTGCTCCTTAGAGGTTAGGAGAGCAAGGCCTCGTCTTACATATTTGGACATGTTGTTCAGAGAGACCAGTCACTGCAGAAGGGCATCATGCTTGCTAGGGTGGAGGGGCAGCAAAATAGAGGCTGGTCCCCAAGGAGAAGGACTGACACAGTGGCTGCAACACTGGGCTCCACTGTGAGGCTCGTTATGCGGATGGGAAGGGTTTGCTGTAAGGGTCGCCCCGAGTCAGGACGACTGGCTGTCACCTGACAGCAACAACACCTCTGAGATCCCCAACGTCTCAGAGGTAAATGTTGAGGGATCAGAGGTTAAGAGTTACCAGGGACAGAAGGGAGGGAAGAAGAGCTAAATCATTATTTAGAAAACAGCGAGTTTCTCTTTCTGGTGATGAAAATTTGGCAATGGTAATCGATAATGGCTCTATCATTTGATTGATGTTAAATCAGCAGTTCTCAACCTGTGGGTTGCAACCCCTTTGCGGGTTGAAGGACCCTTTCACAGGGGTCACCTGACTTATAACAGGAACAAAATTACCGTGATGAAGTAGCAACAAAAATAATTTTATGGTTGGGGGGGGGTCACCACAACATGAGGAACGGTATTAAAGGGTCGTGGCACTAGGAAGGTTGAGAACCACCGTGTTAAATGCTATTACTGAATTGAATGATGTTGAATTGGCAAATGTAGTGTTATCTAATTTTATAAGAAAAAAGATAAAAAGCTCATACTTCAATTCATATTTTGGGGGGGATTTTTTGCATTATTGATACGTTCAAGTTTATAAATAAATATTATCCATGATTTTATAGACAGATCCCTGATGAAAGAAAGTTATTCGTGGGAGATCACAGTCATGTCTGTACTGAAAAAGTGGTTTCTATACTAAAGATCAGCAGCTTGGCAAGGGCTGAGTATTAAGAAAGCCCCTGAAACCTAAACCAATTGCCTTTAAGTGGGTCCAGACTCATAGTGGCCCTGTGGAACAGAGTCAAACGGAAGCACAGGTTACAGTGGTGTAAAGCTCGATGGAAGCAGACTAGCAGGCCTTGCTCCCAAAATCA